CTGCATTTGAACATCATAAAAAATTTACGCAAAGGGTCTTTTTTTACTAAACCAATGCCTTTTGTATGACGTGGTGTGAGAATCAATTCAATTGCCGCAGAATCGCTTAATACGTTTAGAATTAAGGTGGCATTTAACTGTACAGCAAATGCTGCATTCTGACGACGTTCTTCGGCAAATTTTCTTGTTTGCTCCAACTGCAATTCCATGAAAGTTTTATTGTTAAAACGTTGATGTAAACGCCCTGTCCACTGATCAACAGAGCCACTTAGCAGCCAAGTGTGTGTGCGATCAGTATTTTCTAATCGCTGATGTTTATCGCGATGTGTGGGCGTAGCTGATTGCATGTCTAGGCAGTAAATATCCGTTATGATTTCTGGTATGGCTTCGAGGTAGTACTGAACCCATAATTCATGTAGTGTTTTTGAATTATTTGCATTATCAAGCATGGCAATGACACGCAATTCAGTGCGTGACGGGCTAAAACGATAGCTCAATTCGTTGGGTAAATTATTACTACTTACGATACCAGTTGTATTGGTGGCAATGATTTCTGTAGTCTTCTGGTTTATGTTCTTCACTGCACATGTGGGATTCACCCCTGCCGTGCGTGCAATATTCTCTATAATGCCGTAAAGTAGCGCCTCGTATCGTTGAGCATCAGTGGATATGTTGTGGTCCTGATAAACGCTACAAGCATGATTCATGCAATTGCGAAAATATTCCAAATTAGGTGGAGCGATCGATTTACCAACATTGTGATTTAGTGAGAAAGGATCTTGTACACAAACGCAACGTTCAGTCTTGAAAATAGAACACCATAAGCGTTATATACATTTTAAAAAGCATTTGCGTTAAAATTTCTTACCTGGAACGGCTCTACTGGCTTACCATTTAATATGGTCATGACGCGTAGCTGATTATGATAAGCTGGATAATCAAATGTACCATCCTTAAATTTTTCAAGCGGAACCGCTTCTCCTAGATAAGGAGCTATTAAGGATTTTTCAAACTCAAAACTGCGATAATAATTGAAAAAGCCTTTGATTAGTTTTGAGGTGGTCAATTCACGTGGCAGTGTTGGAATAATATTTAAATCGTAGGCGTAATTAACACCAACCACCATGCGGTCAGGGACATTTTCTTGTAGCTTCTTAATCGACGGCAGCAAAGCCGGTGCTTGCTGTAAATAAAATATAACCAGGGTAATTAAGCAGTAGCTGGTCATATTTCCACGTCCAATCAACTGCAACTGCTTAGCCCACACTTTCAGAAAAATCATTAATTCATGGAATCGCGTATCAATTTGTAAGAGATCGCGCAGAAAGTTTGTGTTATGCACACTACTGGGGCAAGATAAATTTATGTCCAGACTAAATCCAGTAGGTGTGTGCTTACATTTGATAATTGGTACACGGGCCTGTCGTATAGCAAATACATCACTGAAACAGTTGCTACGATGTAAAATATTGTTGATTCGATTGAAGATGCTACGTTGCGAGGGGCTCTTATGACTCCAGTTGGTCGAGTGTTCTGTTTGAATGCCGTCTGCATGCTCAATGTAGAGGTCTATATCGCTGTCTGAAAGTGTAATGGTTTGAAAGTCTGCAAGCATATCGCATTTTTTTTTTTATTCTTACCACGCAATGCTAATGCGCTAGCAAACGAGCCGAAAGGATAAATGTTTAAAGCTCTTAATGACTGCAGCTCTTTTTTCAAACAAGCGTTTATGCGCTCATATACCAGCTCAAGGTTTTCATCATTCATGCGATGAAATTTAAAAATACTTGAAAGTTCTTGACCCGGTTCACACTTTCGAAGTGCATCTCTTAATCTGGCGTGCTGATCATCAGATTTAAGGTTATTGAGTACAGCATTGACCTTATTGCGCAGGGACTTCTGGGGTCGGTTTACTTTTTTGGTGCCGTGCTGTAAAAGCTCATGCTTCAAGCACTCTTTCAGATTATCAAATGTTTGAGAACAAACGGTACAATTAATGGTTTTTGTATTATCTTCGACTCCATCCTCTTTTTCATTGCTGGGATTGTTGCTGCCATTAACGTTTATGCATGCAGGATCCGAGTTTGCTGATATTGACGGCAAACGCGCCATCTGCAAAGTTGAATAAATGATAACTTTAATGTTCACATGAATTTATTCAAAAACAAAGCAATATTCTATTGTATAATACAATAACTTTAAGATAAATCTAAACACTAAAATTGTAATTCTTTTCCAGTGCGTCGGTCAACAACTTGGCGGAAGTACTCTTTTGGTATATGACCGTTGCTGCCCGCACACAGTATGACATTGTTAGAGGACCGATATATTTCCATCCCACCAATCTCCATGGCTTTTTGCACATCTAAATAAACGAGCAACTCGCAATCACTGCGAAAGCCACTTTGTGGACTACTCTGATACGCTGTCTTGGCGATGTCATCGAACATGGCAAAATGTACATGTAAACGCCCCATCGGGCGCAGCCCTTCTTCAATTATTCGTGGCCAATGCCGGTAGTACGTGCCATGTACAGCTAATTTCACTTCATCGGCTTTGTGAATACGATGCAAACAATGAGAGTCTTCCACTTCCACTATTGAGTGACCCTGGTTTGCACGTATCTCATAAGCACCACATTGATTTTGACGCAGAGTATAACGCTGCTTTTTATCTTTAGAGACGATTTCTTTCAATCGTTCTAAACTCAAATCATGTCCATATTTTGGATGTTTGAGGATTGTGTCAACAACAACAAAGCCATCTGGTCGTATAGGCAAACCTTCTCGAGCAGCTCCATGACGCAGTAACCACGATAGGCGCTTACTCAATTGCAAATCGCTCGTCATCTGGAATTTGTATACCAGCCGATAGTCCCTAACCTTAACTTACATTTACTGTCTTTAATTTTTTATATGAACTTTTTTCGCAAAATTTGCAGACGATTTTCGGATGTTTGCATGTGAACTCGAATTGTTTGTAATTATAAAATGAAATAAAAAAACAACGTGACGCGAACGCAAAAGGGCTGCCAACATTTTTCAATTACACAATTCACAACGACATGATTTATAGAAGAATTTGCACAATAAAAGCGATTATTCATGCGTTCAACAATAACGCAGTTTTCATTGTTTACTTCTTACAACAAAGATTTCGTCGAGATTTAAAAAGCTAGAAACCCTACAAGAACTAACACATTTGCAAATTTTGCGTTGGTTAAAAAGTGACCATTAAATAAGGCCATAAATTTGAGGAAGACGGAAAATCACATGTACACAAATCGTCGCCTGGGTAAAAGATTGTCGTAAGCGCAATTTTGACGATTTTTAGTTATAGATGCAGTTATATATTTTGAAATAAGGTCTTTCGATTGGTGTAATCAGTTTTTAGATCTCTCCTTTAGTTTTCGAGATATTGACTGCAATTTTTTTGATAATTTAGTAAAAATTTAGCTAGTGATGCAGTTTAAACTAACCATTAATTAAACTAAGCAATATCTTACAAATGGCGTTCTCCATTTTTAAATATCTCCTTTAGTTTCCGAGATATTGAGTAAAAAGTATTGTTAATTTAGTGAAATTTTGATCATATTTTGTCGTATTGTAGGGATCTTATTTCATTCTTTCTCGCGTGATCCTGTGTCTTTCGTTCATGACTAAAATATCACGACATAGCCAAAAAAGGTTGCGCATTCTGCAAACCACTGCTTTGGTTGTGCCGATTTTGACAATTCTCAAGTAAATGCAAGGCGCACACATACATATATATATATATATGTATTAGTGTATTAAGTAAAAAGACCCCTTTCAGACACGTCAAGTCTTGATTTCGAGTCTGCTCGTTCGTAGGCGAAGGAAGTGAGACGAATGTATTCTTCCCCTCTCTTCTCACCTGCTACGCCAACGAACCGAGCGGACTTGAAAGCAAGACTTGACGTGTCTGAAAGGGGTCGAAAGGGATAAATTGCTTACATTTATCATTTTATCCGCATTCTTTCATGAACGCACCTTGGTAAATAATTGCAGAAAATTGTTTATTACTTATTTTATACGCCTAGTTACGTTTCATCCACCAAAGTCGTTTGATAAAGTTTGTGTTGTTGTTGTAGCAGCATACAAGTTCCCCAAAGAGTGACAGTCCTTGGCCAAATATAAATCTGGGTCGTCCCGGTTACGTAGACCCGACTGCCGGGGGAGCGCGTTTGATAAATTGATAAACTTTGGTTAAATAGATTTCCATACAAAGTTTAACAGTTCATTTATTAAAATGATAAATTTATCACTTTCTCAAGTTTATCAAGAGTTTATCACTTTTGATGAAGATCCCTGTTATAATTGCAACGAGTGTGAGTAACAGGGGCCACGACATGCGGGTCCACGTAACCGGAACGACCCAGATTTGAATCTGGCCAGGGACTGCCACTCCAGCAACACACCCCAAAAACTCTTTGGGGAATTTGTATGCTTTAACAACAACAACAACAGGGTCGTACCTTCTCTTTTGCTCTATTTGGATGAAAAGATAAGACACGCCCCAAGGCGTATTCAATAAAAATACGCCTTAAATTAAATTAAGTTAAATACGCCTTGACACGCCCCAGTTACTCACTTTCTCTACAATTATAACGACTTGTCCCTTCTTTTTCAGCCTTATCATGAGTTTCATTTTCCCCGAACTGGTTCAATTTTCACTTTTGGTTTCCATGGTTTTACTATGGGCGGATGACAATTTTCGGGCGATTTTTTTTCAGACGAAACTCAGCATAAAGCAGATTACCAACGTTCTTTGACTATAGTAGAAAGTTTTTTCACCAAAAACACAGTGTTCTGTGGGGAAAGCTGGTGAATAATATTTTTACTCGAAATTTTATTCACTTCATACTTGTCAAAAATTTACTGGCCGCGAACTTTGTTACCGAATCACACACGCTCTGATTGGCACAGGCCAAATACACCCCACAGAAATCTGCGTATCGCGTAATGTCGTGTACATATAATCAAATAAAAATTTGATTTTGGCTTAAATTAATTTCAGAATGCATTCTCCATCGATTTCCTATTGGTGCAGTTGTAACTTCCACCATTTCGTAAAAGCAGTCTGGCAAGGTAAATTCATCCATTCGTTTGCAGTTGTCAAATTCTTGCATTTTGTTGTGACCTGTGTGTTCGTTTTATTGATAAATAATCACTTCCTTCAATTAGATAAGAGGTCGTTACAATTATCGAGTGTGTGGAAGTTTTACTATTAATTTACGTCTTTATAAATATTCTAAAGCCTATGAAATGCGTCGCTTTGCAAGAGGTCTGCACACCATCCGATCAGAATTAAACAGTAGTGGAGATTACGCGAGCTTACCAACTTTGGCAAGTTTTTGTTTGGTGCCAAATTCTGCCGGGGAAAAGAACGAACTTGTGAAATCTGCGATTACCCGCGCAGCTGGCTGTGCAGCGAAGTGTATGGTAACACAACAAGTGCGGAAGTATGCACCGTCAACTGGAAAAACGTTAATTGAAAATGCCTGCTGGAACTGCAAGAGGTCTGGGCGAAAAAATCATATGATGTGCCAGTTCTGCGGGTATCTCCAAGATGTTGATATGGACATAGTAAGTTACAATACAATAGGCGCTTGCAATTGAAAATTTCATAATTTCCGCCTCGCTATTTTCCAGAATTATTTTGAGTTGCTAAATTTTCCAAACAGCTTTTCTTTGGACCAAAAAGATCTAACACGGCGTTTTCGACAGCTGCAGACCATAGTGCATCCGGATAAATTCAGTAATAAGTAACCTTTCATTCATATAAGATGATAGTTTGAGCAAGTTATTGTTATTTACATTTCACCTTACAGAACGTCGCGTGAACAAAACAACTCTGCTGATTGGAGTGCACTAATCAATAAAGCTTACAAAACACTATCAACTCCAATAGAGCGGGGTCAATATATTTTAAAGCTGCAAGGAGAACAAATGCCACAGGACAATAGCGCCCTAGATAAGGAATTTCTCATGGTAATGATGGAGCGCAACGAGGAAGTTGAAGAGGCAAATACAGGGGAAGAGTTGCAACGTTTAAATAAAGATATTGTACAGGAATTAAACGCGAGTGCCATTGAATTGAGCAACAAATTTGAATCGAACGCGTTGAACGAGGCGAAATCGCTGCTAGTTAAAATGAAATATTTGACGAGTGTGCAGAAGAGTATTAAAAACAAAATTCAAAGGCTAATGGGTGGTTGAGCTCCAATTACCAAGTTGAGCTCAGCTGTTTTGTTAAAATTATAGCTGGATTCGGCACCTTTGCGCTTTGAATATCGTACTAAAATACTTAAATATACAAATGTTAATTAATAAATGCTTGATGTTATAACAAGAATTCGATATACAACGCTATTTATTCTGCTTCTTTTTATAATATGTGTGTACAACTTTCGGCCTAAAAAATATTCTTGGGAGTGATAGCCGCCAGTGGAATATGTATGTACTTAAGTGTAAATAAATATATGTATATTCATTTGTTATGTACTCTACTCATTGTCAGTTTAAAGTTTCCTTGAGGGAAGCGGTTAAGTTATTTGGATGACATTGAATTTGTTGGTATTAAATCCCATAGTAAACAAGAAATACAACAAAAAAAAGTGCGACGCCATCGATGTAAACACAAACATATGGCGACGATCAGCTGCTCAGTACAAAACAGTGGAAATCGTACATCAACGCTAATCGGTTGGAATTGCCAAAAAGTGTTTTTGCATCATTGAAATATATAAAAATAAAGTGTTTTATGCATGTATTTGCGTTGCAAATTAATCAGTATTATATAATTATTTCATTATTGTTGTTGAGGGTGTGAAGTGATTAATAAAAAGGCGAATGTTTAGTATTCGTGTTTAAGTGATCGATTTATCAGGTTCTAAGCAAATCCATCTAACACAAAACACGGTTTGTTGTTGTCATGAGTGGAGTTGCCAATCGCCTATAAAAAGCAGGAGCTAATCAGAGATATGTCAAAAAAGGTAACCTAATCCGTTATGCACTGCGCTTACATGGTATTTTTCGATTTGCGACTGAAATGTAGGAGTGTACTCGTACCTAAAACTATCAAAATTTTTAGAAAACTTTTCGGGCCGAATTCACAGTGCTTAGTTAAACCATTGTTAACTTAACCACCAACAAGAGTTTAATTATGAATTTATATTCAGAGTCACATAGTTAAATATGGAAATTCGTATCGCCTGAAAATATACAAATTCTTAAAATCAATACTTTTCTATTCAAATTTGAAATTCGTTCCACAAAAAAATTATTTATTTCACAAGAGTTTAACTATGGGTGCATGCTGGTTTAAACTTTTGTTAACTGAGCGTTGTGAATATGAAAATCAATAGTTAAACTCTTATCAGTGGTTAACTACGCACTGTGAATTTGGCCCTTACTGGTTTTGCAAAGGTGTGCAAGCCCTCATTCTGCGCTTTGAGCGTATTCTGCCGATTTGTGTGCGCTCCTTGGTAGGAACACCGTAATATTAAGCAACGGATTGATTTTATCACCCCTCTTGGTACACAACGCGGGGCTCTTCCAACCCTAGAGTTTGGGAGTAACCTCTGCAAGCCATGCTGCCGTCCTATCATATTTGCAATCAACAAGGAGTAAGCTGGATCTAAAGTAGACCCCACAGAACACCAATTGGTGCGACCAACAACAATGCGTTCCCACGACAGTCGGGTCTACGTAACCGGAACGACCCAGATTTATATCTGGCTAAGGACTGTCACTCCAGCAACACTCCCCAAAACCCCTTTGGGGAACTTGTATGCTGCTACAACAACAACAATAACCACCCTTTGAATATCTCATCCATAATGGCGTCCTGAAGTCTGGTAAGCTCATCTTAAGCTAAGTGCTACAGCAGCGAAGGCTCTCGGCATAACCGCTAGACTCAGCTGCCTAGGGGTCCCGCCCTGTGTCAGATTGCCTACCTAGGCCTCCGAGCCATGATGCTGGAGAGGGTGCGTGCTCCCGCTGCATCTTGTGGGTAGGGTGCTCTGGTGGTGTGATTTGCCCGCTCTTCCGATTTGAACCGGGTGCGGTTACCTCGGGTTCTTTGCTGGGAGCCACAGACTTGGCCATCCCAGCGGACAGCTGGTCGCGGAAGAGCCCTCGCCAAGGCACATCAGGTGGCATCTTTACGAACTGACGGACGAAGTCCACAGGTTTATCAAACAACCTCTGGACCCGCCAACCTACCGACAGGCGCCGTTCTAGGTACACAACCACCGGACGTGGACGGGACAGAACTTTGTCTGCCTCGGGAGACCCGCACTACAATAGCCCAACTTCGCTCTGGCTATTGCAGCCGGCTAAACTCTTACTTGAGTAGAATCAATGAGGATGTGCCCAACCAATGCCCGGCCTCATCGCCTCATGACTCCCGGCACCTCTTCACATGCCCTGAGAACCCAACTCAGCTGTGTGCCTGTGGAAGGCGCACACTCCCCCTAGCTGAAATTGACGACAACGTTGACGGATGAACCGACCCGAACGGGGCTTAGTAGCCGTTACAACAACAACAACAACAACAACCTCGGGTCGCGTCTCTGTTTCCCCGCCTCTCCGCCAGCCAGCGGGCGCGAGTTTATAGTGGCTTTAGTTTTTCCAGCTTCTCTGCTTGCCAGCAGGCGCGGGTTCTCTGCTAGTGTTTGCCCCGCTCTTCCGCTCTTCGGCGGGCGCGGTTCTCCCTCTGTTGACTCTATCCTCCTCCTCTGCTACATCTGGCATCTTGCCTTGCTCAAGGTAGCGAAGATACCATTTGACTTCCGAACCAGTCAACCCCTTTCGTTTCTGGTCATCCAATGCACCTAATGACTGCCCTAGCGAGTGCTCTGAATTCCTAACTAAACAGCAAACATTTTCAACTGAAAAATCAATGATCATGGAAAAATCATCATATAACAAAATTTCTGGCGAAGAGACGAAAGCCAATGTAATAAAGACATTCTACGATTCATCAAAAATACATACATATGTATGTAATTATATGCATACACATCAATATTACGCTGATAAGAGGTATTCTCTGTATGAAAAATAAAAAGTTTTCTTTTGGACATCCATACAATTTTTATTAGGAGTGTTCGCTATGCAAAAAATTTGTACAAGTTGGTACCAAGTGTTACCAAATCGTGTTCGTTTAGCCAAAAACCTAGTAAAACTTGCAAGGAGAGAGCGCAATTTTGACATTTCATTTGGAGGGGAAGTTGCAAATTCTTGCTGAGAAAATTTTTGCCAGTAAGAATTTGCAAGCAGGATTGTGGCACACGGTTGCATTTTTGTCAACATTAATTTGAATCAACAAGTTCGTTAAATTTAAAAATGAACAATCTTGTTGCGATTTACTAATGAAAGAAGTATGAAATATTTGTTTATTCAATTAATTTAATTAATTCCAAACATTTGAAAGGTACTCGGCTGAAAAAGCTGTATTCGTAATCGGAACGCACTCGACACCGCTGTCGAAATAGGAAATCCGAAAGGGTGACTTCCACAAAGAAATTGAAGCGTATGTTGAAGAAAGTCAGATTTTTTTGATTTCCACCTGAAATAATTAAAAAAATTTATTATGCTCGAAATGCAACCGTGGACGCCAGATGGCAGTGAAGCTTTCTAATGTTTGCTAATTCCTGTTCGCGCAAAACTTAGTAAGTTTCTCTCTTTGGAAGACTAAGGTACCTTATTCTCTGAATTTTGTTACTGGCTAATTCTTACTGGCAGTTGCATAGCGAACACTCCTAATTTATTTCTATGCTGAAAAGGACGTTCACAGTTGATAAATCACCGAGTACCAAACAACAGTTTACCAAACCGCCTTTAACGAAGCTTAACACTGAAAGATATATATATTTATTAAAGATTGTCAATTGAGGGGGGCAGTGGCAGAGATAGTGCTGTAGCTACGACAAAAATTGTTAGCAAGCAGCCCTTTCAAAGTTTTTGATCCTTTCTTATTGATACTTGGCCAGATCTGCTTAGTAACGGAACAGGTGGGTTCTTTCGCCAATCTTTCATTGGCCAATCTTAGTTTAAACAGGCACTGAAAAACTGGCCCGGATTTAACCGTGGGTTAACTGAGAGTAGATCAGCTACCCTCTTTGTTAGCTCGTTTGCCGCGTAACTTTCAGATATTTCACTGTGCCTGGGTACTCATACGACGTTAATGGTAACTTTCTCCTGCCTGCTGCTTGCGACAATTATCGCGGGATATGACCTTTACTTACTTAAGTGTTTTGTATAAGGTTCTATCAGCGATTTTATCCTAAAAACTGAAGCTCTTCATGAACCAACTGATTACACCTTACCAGGGTGGCTTCAGAACGGTTAAATCCAACATAGACAAGATTTTCAAAGATCGTCTAATCCTAGAAACCTTAGGTGATCAAATTGACTCACACCTATTAAGCCTAACAACAAGTTTAAAAATCATACGTCTAATTTACAATGATTTAGCTGAAACTCTGGGGTTGAGCACAGCTGGTTTAACGTCGCGGAACAAAAGGCTGGTAGGGTGACAGGTAACAAGATCAACGGAAATAAGGGCAATTGATATTATTTCGCATACATTTTCAAAAGCGAAATAAAATCCATGGACATTATTGCTCATTCAATCAATAAATTCGCCGGGATATCGCTCGCCCCCGCGAGATGATGTCAACCTTAGTCTTCCGGAGGACATCAACCAGTCGGGCAGAGGCACCTTCCCCATTAAGGGTCCGGATATTCCAGGTGCATACCATCAAATCATAGTCCCTAATACGTTTGCCTTGGTCGTCATCAGAAAAAGGGGGTTTCATCCGAGGCTGTTTTTTGTTTTTCATTGGGCGGGGTTTTAACGTGGCGGGGTTTTTAAAATGGCGAGACCCAAACCCAGCGCACGCGAAGTATTACGCCTTATCACTTTAGCTCGCTCCCAAACGGGTGTTTGGTCGGTACCCAGAGGATTTGGGTGATTACGCAGTTTTATTTTATACTTTATACCAAGGTCTCTATATATGCTTTCGTTGCGGACATATCACGGGAGGCTAAGGCCCATAGCGTTTTTAATTGAAATCTTTGGATCCTGTCAATGTTGGTTGCACTGGTCATACCCCACAGTTGAATATCATGCATCCATATCGACTGTTCAGTGGAAGATCGACCTACCTCTGTAGCCTATCGTTCGAGATACATCGTTCGAGGCATCGTCTAAATTAAAAAGGACCGCTAGATCACGATGTTGCTGGCAAATGAAGATGACACTGACAATGCCCGGCTTGTGATCCAGAGACTTCAGCGCAGCATTTTCCAGCTCAGTAAAAGAGGTCAGTCTACATAGTCCCCCTAAGAACACACAAAGTGTTTTCTCGCATCGGGAGACACGTCAATGTTGGCAGTTGTAATTTTGCAGTAGTGAAGAATCAAAGGTAATGTAAGCCTGGAAATCAAGCCTGCTGCCAACAGGTGCTGCTTTGGGCTAGGTAGATAATTAAAAAACAGAACATTATTTCAACGAACAAAAACTACAGTCTACAAGTCTCTCTTCATACTCGTTCTATAAGTTATATGGCGCAGAAACGGCGACGATGCTGAAAAAAGGTGATACGATTTTGGAGTCTATTCTATGCACGATCTATGACCCTGTTCGCGTGAGTGGCGCTAACTCGAGAATAGTTGGAGAAATAAATTTAACAGTGTTTTATAGCTTTGAGATGGAGAATTAGCAGTTGAATAAAAAATGAATTCTTTGACGAGAGCAAGGCACATTAAACAGGTAGTATCAGTAGAGCAAAAACAACATTTGCGTGTATTTTGTTGTTGCTTCTGGTATCGAAAGTGTCAACAACTGTTCTGAATTTTTTCTTCTAAATCAAAGCGTGCCATGTGAAATACAAAAAATTATAAAAAATAAAAAATTGAAATTGGAAAAAATAAAAATTGATGCAACTTTCTTTCCTAGTAAATTTGTTTGCTTCTCGAAGCATTGATCCATCCTTTGCAAGGCCCAGTAATCAGCGGTCGTGCTGCCGATTTGGGCGAACGTTCCAAAAGCTGCTATTCAATCGCTTGTTTTGTGTGGAAAAAGGTTTCACAAGCAAATGGATTTTAACAACTTATAATTTTCGTGAGAAAAAATTAAAAATATTTGACGTTTTCGAGACCAAATAATTTGAGAATAAATCAAATCAGCTGCTCTACTGATACTACCTGTTCAATGTACCTTGGACGAGAGTATAAAAAAAAAAATATAAAAAATTGCATTGCATACTTATTTGAGATCAAAAAAGGTGAAAAACCAGAGCTCCCTACTTTTTAGGGTCCTCTGAAAGGTCATGGTAATTTTTTGAAGTGAAACTTCTTTACCGGCGGTTGGTTGGTTGGGAGCAAATTGGCAAATTCAAAGGAAATTGCACATGGATACGGTGCAACGGAAATGATGCAACGGAAACGGTGCAACGGAAATGGTTGGTGCTGAAACAAGTGCTTCTTGTGTGTATGCATATGGTATTAACTTAACAAAAATTTGCTAATAAAAGGTTAAAGAATAACACTTAGAAAAAGACCAATACAAGAATGAAAGTAAAAGTGACTACGTACTTAGATAAAGAAAAGGATAAAGGCAAAGATCAAAAATAAAAACAAAAAAAAAGATGCGTAAAGATAATGGCAAGAATGAAGACCAAGGTGAATTTAAACACTTTACTTATATATATAAGGGCAAAGGTGAAGGGAATATGTAGATGAAGAAAATGATAAACCTAAAAGTAAAGACAAAGAGGAGGATGAGGATATCGATCAAAGAAAAGATGAAGATAGGGGAAGAAAGATTAAAATAAAGGCATTTAAAGAGGAAAGGATATAGAGAGAGACACAGAGACTCAATCTGGGAACTATTTTGTGATTTTAGAGATTTTCGGGATTCTCGGGACTTATCGATATAATAATCGATATGTTTATCGATCTTATCATCGATATTTTTATTTATTTTGTTATCGATATTTTTATCGATTTTGTTATCGATATTTTTATTGATTTTATTATCGATATTTATCGATTTTGTTATCGATTTTGTAATCAATATTTATCGATATTTATCGATTTTCTAATCGATATTTATCGATTTTGTTATGGATATTTTTATCGATTTTGTTATCGGTATTTTTAAAGATATTTTTATCGATATTTTTGTCGATTTTGTTATCGATATTTATCGATTTTTTTCATTAGAATAACATATATGAAATTAGATAGAAAAAAGAAAAAAAATTTGACCTTAAGCAAAAGCAGATGTATGTATGTATGTATATTGGCATACATCTTCACCTGTGGGTTCGCTTCCACTTGGTTGGACGCGCTGTTCCACTCTGCCGCGTATGGACCAAAAACTAAGAAAGGCTTGTCTCTTTTCGGTGCACCAATAAAACAGAAACCAACTAAATTTTTTGAGAGTTGCCGATTAAAATACTTTATAAATATAAGAAGTTATTGCAAAATCACACTGTAAGTAGCGTTCAAACTTAGCTTCATTTAGTTCTTGCTTATTAAATGACCAAAGATCGTATCATCAACGTGTGATTCCCCGTTGGCTAAAAAAACAACAAACCAAACATGTCGATGATAATAACAGGTTATTTAATATGTAGTAAGTATCTACAAAGGCCAGCAATGTGAATTTAGTGCTACTGACTAATAAAAGTAATTGACAAAAAAGTACACAGGTATTTATTTGATATGAATGTACTTCGAATACGTACATACATATTATGTATATAAACTTACTTATGTACATATGAATGGCTTAGATATTATTAGTAAGAATACATACCCTTAATGCTATAAATTCATGCACTTATACTTATGTGCATTAGGGTGGTCCAAAATAAAGGTAAGTCAGAATTTGAATGCTCACCCATTAGGGGTGTTTTATACCGAAAGAGGTCGCTGAGAGCGCTCAAACTTTCCCATGGTTTTTATACGGGCGCATGGCGAAATGGTTTAGATTCCTTGAAAATCTATATTTTTCAATCGGCAAAATATGTCTCTCTTCGGGATACTTCAGGGAATAATACCCAATTGTGTACTTAAAAATTTTTTAATATCAACTATTTTTTATGAAGCCCCAAAACCCCAAAAAAAGACAATAGAGGTATCCATAAAAAATCGTTACTAATTAAAAATGGGTATTATGCTTTGAAGTCTCCTGATTAGAAACAGAGTTTGCCGAATAAAAAATATTGGTTTTCAATGATTCTATGACTCTATTTCTACGAAACATAGTTTTTTTTTTTTAATATAAAATGTGGGTATTTGTTTTTGATATAGAACTTACTTTTCTCACATGCATTTTTGGATCACTCTAATGCACATATGTAGGTACATACATGCTTATTATAATATTTCCTTTCGAGGAAAAGTCATTAGTATGCATTATATGTATGTAATAGATTGGCACTTACACAATATTACCATATTGTGTTTGGCCTAGTTTCTCCTCGGATTTGGGGCGTCCGCCTTGATGTTGTTACACAAAGTGGAGGGACCTACAGTTTTACGCCAACTCCGAACGGCGATTATATTTCTATGAGAAGCTGTTTTTTCATGGCAGAAATACACTCGGAGGTTTGCCATTGCCTGCCGAGAAGGGTGGGTGCTATTAATTTTCCGGGCTTGAACCCAGGCCCTGCGGAATGGTAGCACACACTGCTAGCCACTACACCACAGCGGCCGCATGTTAATTAGACCGGGTCAATGCCCATATGAAAGAAAAATAGTTGTAATTAACTCCACCTCCCCACTGTGGTGGGTATAGTTTAACTGTTTACTTTGTGAGGATTTTTTCACTGCCTACGCCAGTGATGGGCAAAATTGTATTTACTAAATACTATTTAAAAAATGTAACAAACATCGTCGCTGAAATACAAAAAGTCGTAACTAGTAAAAAATTCAAAATTAAGTTTTTGATTGATATGACGGATTTCATCGAAATACAACTCCCAAATCATTTTATGAAAAAAAAATATATAACATATTAGTCACGACTTTTTTCATTTCAGTTACGATGTTCGAAGAATTTCGAAAAATCAGAAAGCGAAGCTGGGACATAATATCTTAAAAACAAAAAATAAATAAGCGAAAATAATTAAGTATTATTTCGTTTCCTGAATCTTTTATTATTTGGCATTTTTTAATAAATACTAAGTATTATTTAGGTGTGTGGGACCTACATATTTTTGAGGTTGAGGTTAACAAATAGGCAAAAGTTGGGCACCTAATCGATGGCTATGACGTAAATGATGTTTTCTGACCAGTTTCCATTTGAAATATTTATTACCTTCATTAGAAATATTCAGAAATATTTTGCAAATCGCAGCGACTTCAAATCGTACGAGTTTCAGAAGAGGCTGTATATCGGTATTTAGTAACAAAAAGGCTCTTTAAAATATAAAAGAATTAAAGTACCTATGGCCATCACTGGCGCACCCTAATGTTCATTTAGTAATTCATCACTACCATACAAAATTTCTTTTGGTTATCTATCCTTAGACCACTTATAGTCACGTATTTTTCAGCACAAGCCATATTTCTTTGATTTAATTTTGATTGTCGATTGTTTATATGCACAACATATTTAGTACATATGTACTTATGTATGTATGTATGCATCTACATACCACACATAAATTAAGTACAATATTTTATTTGTACTCTCTTCATTTAATTTCAGCTGCCCACACATTCAGCAATGCGAAACAATTCGTTAATCAAAACATTGCGTTCAATTAAATATTAAAACTTGATTGCCGCGTATGGTCGATTGGTCGATTGGTCGGACGGTCGGTTGGTCGGACGGTGGGGGTCTGCTGAGTCAATACTCTGGAAGTGTTAGCTGCGCTACTATACCCTTGCAGGTATACAACTATAGTATAATAAAAATACGTATATACTTACACACATACATACGTACGTACCTCTTACCACTCAGTTGGTTGTTTGGTTGCTGCTCACCTGTAAATATTCAAAAATCCGCTAGTCATTGTCGCAGTCGAACGTTGAAAGTGCGCGCCCACAGAAGCTAGCTGAATATTTATTCGCATGTGCAGAAATCATTTGCCGCCGTGAAATCAATTACACGCTAATTTCATTTGCATACAAAACTACTCAAAGTGAGATTTATTATTTATTATCTATACATTTGTTTTAATTGCCGCCAGCGCATAGTATTAGTGGGCCTAGCGATGCAATTCATTTCAAATATTAACGCCTACAAATTGCCGACAAGAGGCGCTGCTGCTGCTGCTGCGGTTGCACTTTTGCCAGTTCTCTGCATTTTATCTTTTATCAATGGTTCTGCGGCACACATTGGCGCTCGACAACGCATCAACGCGTATGGCGATGTCAACGATGACGTTACGGTGAATGTGAATGCGGAGAATACGCGCCCAATCATCGGTATTCTCACGCAGGAAGTGTCAAATTTTGTGCTGCGCCATTATCCGGAAAAGGATTACAAGAGTTATATAGCCGCTTCGTATGTGAAATTTGTTGAGGGTGCCGGCGGACGTGTGGTGCCGATTTGGTGAGTTTAAAATCGTTGTTCATTTACATTTGCACATATGTATTTGTGTGCTCATTTAAATTGTTATAAATATGCATTAGTAGGTTTGTGTGTATTGACAATTGATAACGATGAACTTTTAATTAAGTGCGGTGCTATGCATTGATGATGTGTCCCAGTAGACAATTTTCGCTGTTGAGACGATAAAAACAAATGTTTATTCTACCAACTGTGCAACATAAGTGACAAAATTTTTGGTTATAATGTTCATAAAGTATTGCCGCAAGAAGTCAGTGACTTTTTAGATCAATGTCCCAAAAAAAGGTAGGAGAATCAGACTTTAACACTAGATAGCCTGGAAAGACTGAATACTTAAGAATTTTATAAAAAAAAAAAAAATTTTTAATTAAAAAATTTAAAAACAAAAGTGGCGAAATACCAATTTATACAAGCAAAAGAAATATTGACAGTCAAATATGAAAATGTTTCAAATCACCACTAGAATATTATAGGCTATAAAACTGCAACCCAAAAATGTGCTAAAGATTCAGATTAAAAAGTTGAAATTATGGTAAAAATTTGTTGAATTTTCCTAAATTTTGTATAAAGTTTGAAACTGAGTTATTTGTTTGGATAAGCTTGGAAGTTATTTTTATAGAAAAATAACAAAAAAAAAATTCAGTTTGAAAAAAATTACGAATATTTAAAAAATCAACACGTGGTCATTTGTTTGTTCTTTTAAAACATTAACACGTAAAAATTAAATAAAATTTTTTTGTCGTTAATCTTTGGCATATACTGTCGAATATTAAAGTATGACACAACGATGCTTTTATGTCGAGGCGACACCTTTTTTGTTCCAAAGTTCATTAACCTCAAGTAACCCATTCTAGTATTTACCCACCAGATCTTATCACCCTAACATACCTCCTTAATGTCAATAAATTAAAACTCGCCAAAAATCATTAAAATTTTGCCAAGGACGCATTTCGATTTGAAGCCAATTTCGATATTTTTTTTTGGCCGAGCGTAAGGATTGCCATTTTACATTTTTCGTCATATTATCGCGATAGTATGATAAATTAATGTTTTTGTCTTGAATTGGCAATTTTTTGCAGTAAAGTTCATTGACCTCAAATAACTCGTTCTAGTACTTACTCACTAGATCTCAGTTCTTATCACCCTAACGTCCCACCCTAATACCACCAAATAAAAGCCAAAAATAAGCAGACTTTTGCTAAGGAAGCATTTCGTTTTATCCAGTAGAACTATATAAAAAAAATTTTACTGCCAAATGTTGGTGCTACTAAAAAAAGTAAATACATACGTAGGTTCGGCAAACTTTTTTTTGAGATTGTCTTGAAAATTTCATTTAGACTCAGGGGTGTACGGCGAAATTTTTTATGTTTGCTTTTAAGGTTTTGCTTTTAAGGTACGGTCTAATGTAAGCACATTAGGGTGGTCAAGAAAAAGTGAAGTCGGAATCTTAAACCTCACACACCCTAGTATTGTTCTATACCGAAAAAAATTATAACCCTGTTTTTATTTTTATTTTGAAATAAGAAAATATTTAGAGGTCCCTTAAAGTGTCAAAGTTTTCCATGTATTTTATAGTATAGAATAATGGAAAATCAAGAAGAAGACTTCTAGTAATAATACCCAATTTTTTATTTTACCATTTTCTATTATAAACTATTTTTAATGAGACCGCTAAAAACCTCAAAAAATGCAGTGCGGTTACCCATAAAAAATCGGTAGTATTGAAAGTTGGGTATTATTACTGGCAATCTCCTGCAGAGAAACAACACTTTCCGATCGAAAAATATTGGCTTTTAAGAATTCTATAACATTTCTACGAAAACTTGTATTCAAAAAAAAAAACAGAGGCATAAGTTTTTTCGGTATAGAACAATCCTATAGGGTGAGAGCATTAAAATTCCGACTTTACTTTTTCACATGCATTTTTGAACCACCCTAATGCACACGTAGGTTATGAACGCAACTAAAAAAAAATTATGAATTTCGCAAACACAAAATTTGGTTTATGTTATACATATGTATATAAATGAATATTCATACGATCAAAGAGAAACAGCACGAAAAACTTTGCAGAATTACTCATAAAAAAGTCGACCACCCAATGGCAGACGACTAAATTTATTCAAACCTGCTAAGGCATAACTGAATATCGTCTCTTATTTTACTGATTTGAATGTATGTATATACATATATGTACTTATCTAAGCAAAAACATTTACTACTTGTAAAAAATCTGCGAAAAAGATGTACATACATACATATGTATCAGCTTACGACGCTGGCTTTGTAATAAATAAGAAATCACTTCACACATTTTGCTTCTGCGATTGTTCTGATTTTGTAAATAAATTAGCTTATCAATTATTGAAAACACATGTGGGATTCTTACATACATACATAATATGTGAATATATGTACACGTACATACATACATGTATGTATTTACATTAGACCACATCAACTTATTTATTTTAAAGCAGCGGTTGGTTATCAAGCTCAAGAAGACTAAATCATTCAAGCGTTATTGGCTTCCCGCTGATTGTTTTTGGTTCTGCAACAGATTGCTTATTCTCAAGTATGCTTCTGAATAACGAAGATTCAATTATCGATCCGTTACAAAAATTTATATTTTAAGTAGATTAATTATAATTTTATTTTCTTTTACCTACGGAAAACAAACTTCATATCAACAGTGATCTTTTGTATTTCAATTAATTTTACCTGGGGAAATACATACAAGCATACTATTTTTAAGAAACCACCGCAAATTTGTTTTACTAAATATAGGAAGTACTTAGATTTATCAAATACTTACGTGCATGTAGATATGTACAAATGTATGTAAATCTATGTATCTACAACCATTTTACTCATAAAAGTGCAAGCTGTTAGTTAGTACTAGCAGTTAAGCGATAAAATAAAATCAAGCAAAAAAAAAAAACAATTGATTTCCGCTTGTCATGTTTTTTGATTAATCATTCTATTCTCACTTACTGTAAACACAGTTTTCATCGATTATCATATTTAGTAGTAATATTTACTTAGTAAAAAACAAACAGATGAGCTTTTAAACGGGGAAGTCTTTAAAATCTTGTATTAAATATGAATGTATGCATGTATGTATTTCTATATGTTAATTACTATATGCAACAAAATTTTGTCGAATAAACTGTGTGCACTTAATTGGTTTACTTACGATCATTAGCGCAACAAAACGAATGCTGCAAGTTTTTGATTACACTGTGCGACAATTTTATGGCAATTTAAACCAGCGCGGACTTTGCTAATCTTTTCTGAAAGTATACATATCCTGTATTAAAATACTCAATGGATTTGCAATAGTTAGCACGTATTTTTATTTTATGGTCTATTAAAGTTTAAAACCCAGTTTATACGGTTTGGTTAGCTATATTTTTGTAAAAAGGTAAAAAAAAAATTTAACTGTAAAAACTTTGCAAATATGTAAAAAAAATCCCAATTCACTCAGTTTTAAAAATTTTAAAATAAAATTGAAAATAGCGATCAAAAATTTATCGAAAAAATGGAAATCCAAAAATAACGATTATTCTGACCGAAAAATAGAAGTAATAAAATAACGGTTAAATTTGATCTTGAAAATAGAAGCCTAATTTTAAATTATGGTTTTTATAATGAAGATTATAACCGTTACAGCCCCTGACTTTAAGACGTTTTTCCGAAAGGTAACAGTTTAACATGCATAAGCGCAAAAAGGGAGGTGATTTTATCGTTGCAATAGAAAATATCATTTTCAGGTGTTGTCCCTTTCTTTCTTAACCTTTTCAGTACAAAAACTAAACCGTATACTGGCTAATTTTTGGTATTTTTTTTTTATCTTAATTCCATAATTTGCTTAAAGCAACTGTTCTCAATAAAACCAATAAAAGTTTTTAATTATGAAAAAATAGATTAGACTGAAGAGTTACTGAAAGGGTTATTGAAATACAAAAAATACAAAGTTCTTTACGCCTACCCGAAAGGATATTACAAAACTGGTGATTTAGAAGTCAAAAAGACAATCGATACTTAAATTTTCGTCGCCAAAATTTGCTAAATGAATTGCAGTGTAGCCTAAAAGTATACAATATGGAAATAGACGCAATGTATATTCAGCCAAATCTAGTTTTCGGTGACACCATATTCGGCAATACTTTTTTTTTTTAAATTGTTCTACTGGAATAATGAACAATTTAGAGTTATAAGAACTGAGATCTGGTGCGTAACTACTTGAACCCTGTATTTGTGGTCAATGAACTTTGGGGAACAAAAAAAAATATCTCTTCGAGACAAGAACGTCGATAAATCATACTTTAAGGCGACCAAAAAAAAAAGAAAATGTTTTCCAAATTGCTTTGCAAAAATACTTTAGGGTCAGAGGTGTGCGGCAAACTTTTTTTCTGTGGCAATCTAATGTAAATATATTGGTATAAAATAACCAAATATGTATCACTAACATCACAAAAAATCAATTTTTTTACGTATTCGTTTCAAGTGTTATTCGCCTTATACAAGAGTGCGGGTGATTTGATTAAACAAATAGAACAAAAATAAACTTAGCAATTTAATTGCAAAATAAAATAATAAATGCATGAGCTAATACACAATTAAACGCAAAAAACGTTCCAGCTCATACTTTGCTTGTTTATTTGAATAATGCGATATTAATTTTTATTATGTGTGAATGAATCTTCACGATCTGTGGTCCACAGCTAAATGTTATTAAAAAAAAAACAACTTAAATGTTTGTAGTTAATCGTGCGAGTAGCGAAATTTGTTAATTTTTTGCGTGTTTTTTAATATTAATTTATTATTTAAATTTTTTAGCACACAAGAGTCTCACAGGTATTTAAATATATTATATGAATACATACGTAGTATTTTGGGGATTTTTTTGCATGCCTACACATGTATAAATAGCAAAAATTGAAATCATAAATAGTCTTCATAATTGATTTTAAATTATTTGTAATGAATATGTATGTACATACATAGATATGTGCATGGATTTTGTTTGCAAAAGTGCGCAATTATTTCTGTATGTACATATCTGAGAGCTTACGAAGTTTGTATGTGTGAATAGTTTTAAGCATTTCTGTTATTTGCATTTTTTCACACACGGAAATTGAAAACAGGCCCCAAATTTGTGGCGGGGAAATCGATTGCAATTGAAAGATGAAAAACGCATGCTTATTCCCAGCCAACCAGCGGAGTCCGCCGGGTGCGCAATTAGAACTCTCTGTGCGGTGCGCTGATGCTCCTAGGGGCGGGGGGCTCCAAAAAGAGTCCCAAAGGAGCATATCGGAGAAAAGGGCCTTTTTCAATACATATATGTCTATATCTATATCGATTCCTTATTACTATTTTCAATTGTTTTTTTTTTAAACAGCTTTGACCTGTGAATACAATACAGTTCAGAAATAAAAAATTTTCAAAGCACCTTCGATTGATACCCGTATTTTAATAATTCATTTAACTTAATAAATAATTTGAATTTCACTTTTTAAGCAAGTAGCAATCCTCTTACAATACCTAAAAAATATTCTTAGCGTTCAAACTAAAGATTTCTTAACACTCCTTCGTTTGTCATCCATATTTTGGTGTTTCGTATATCTAAATTGTGTATAAGTAAACTAAATTCGACACTGCAAGCAGGTGGCAACTCTCCTCAAAATATTTTCAAACTACTATTTTCTGAAACGCCTTTCGTTTGGCACCCATATGGTGATACATATTTCTCTTAACTATTATGAAATTTTAAAAAGGTGGCAACCCTCCTATATAGTTCGACTAAGAAACAAAGCTTTTCAAAACCATTTCGATTTATATCCATTTTGTAATAACTGATTTATTTTTTAAACAATTTGAATATAATTATGTAAAGGTGGCAACTCTTTTCAAAAAGTAAAACTTTATTGCACATCTACAGTCCAAGTCTTTTAATTTGACACCTCATTTCGGAAGATCGAACGAACGGTGCCGACATGATGGCATTGATTTTTAAATAATTCGAATATAAATGTTCAACAGATGGCAACTCTCTTCTAAAAAATAAAACCAGTTTGCACATCTACAGATTAAGCGCTTTAATTTAAAATTTCATTTTCCTGGCCAAAAAATGCCTTCGCATATTATATATATGTATATAGAAAGATAGATATTTGACCAGTTAGAGACAAATTAATTTCGGCAAATAAGTTGCCCTTTCATATCTCCCTGAATAAGACATCAATCGGTTTGCTGGTACTCTGATGTCTTCCTTTGAACATGACATACTACATATACAAATATGATTTCTCAAAAACTTGTAGCATTAACACACACATAAAACCGTTAAGCGGACATAAATATTTTCAAATCTACCTAATGACGTTCGTCCGTTCGGCGGCTGCAAAGCATTTAATCAGTGTCAAGTTTTTGTGCTAAAAATAGACTTGTACAACAAAGTATCCAAATAACATACAATACGCATGTTCGAAGTGTGTGTGTACGCACAATTATGCGTTCACTGTTAAGCGAAAGCTCTGGATTTTTTTTTGTACGCTGTTTTAATTTATGTGTAAACATATTTATTTACATTTTTGATTTTATGCGCACGCGTTTGTACTCTTTTAAGCTCTGAAATAACGTTTGTATCATTTGACGTCCGACTTTTCTGACTGCCATTTTTCTTTGACATTTTGCTGATTCATTGGCATTGGAGTGATAAGTTTGTACTCTAAATGATTTATAAAAGACTTATTCATAATGACAAACGTTTAGTATTAAGTCATATTTAGCGATACTAGATAGCCGCGCGAATACATATGTATGTGTGTATGTATATACATATGTATGTATGTGCAGTGACCCAAATATAAATTGGGACGCGATATTTTAGCAAGTTTTGGCTATGTTTCTTTAGTTTATTTAGCGTTTAATATCTTTTTATGACAGTATTTTATGACTGATTACTTAAGAAACACCATATTAATCCAAATTTCAGACTCCATCTTCCCTACCTACCAATGCTCTGGAAATAGTTTTGAACTTTCTTTTGACAGACCGCTATTAATGTATGACGCTTTTCTGAGTCTTGGAAAAAAAAATCGATTGTTAGAAAACGCCCTATCTCAGAAAATTTTTCAAGAACGGCGTATTTCAGAATTTGGTTGAACAACGTTGAGATAGGGCGTTCTTGAGCCATTTTCTCAGATAAGGCGTTTTCAAACCAGCTGCCGAGATGTGTAGGTCGATCTTCCACTCAGCAGTCGAAATATTCTTTATAATTCTGATTATTATAAAATTTTACTTCTAAGTGAACATTGTTACTTTTGTTCAACTCACAATTTATGACACCAGAATAAAAAGCATAAAATGAGTCAGTTTAGTTGAATCATATCGACCCCTATTTAGATTCACACTTTCGAAATTATTTAATTTTACCGTTTCTCTTCTTCAAAACTGCTTATAAGATTTTGATTTTATCTTTTTACTTATCATAACTTTTGCACTTCAGCGTTTTTTATAAAATTGCAGTCTTTGATTTTAATATTTTTTAATGCAAACGACGAGTCGAGGAATATAATAACTGATTTACAAAATTACCAAAGAGTAGCGCCAATGTGGTCATTTTAGATGTTTGCTACAAAATTAAATGAGCTGTAACACTGCATCTACGAAGAAAATTTGTGGACAATTTAGTAGTCGCACCAAACAGTTGAAGTTCAAATATGTTGATCTTATTCTGCTGATTAGCAGTGCTTATATTTGATTGACTTAAAATTCAGTTTTTTTTTTTAAACAATCCTTAAAGTACCCGCACGTATTTGTTTATAAATGTACAGATTATACAACTTAAAAACTATCGCAAGTGCCAATTCTTTGATAACTACCTCTCAGCTTGTTCAGGAAAAATATCATAAGCGCCATTTCACCTTTAGACAATGGGGTATGCATAAAATACATAGTCCATTTTGGATTTAAAAATTAAAAAAAAAACTCCCGTAAAATTTATCTCTCGACCCTACATATCTAAGATTGGCAGTGTGTGTAATAACTAGACACTGTCCTTAGTCTCTTTAGGCCTTTAGCCAGATATGTATGTACACGTGTAGTATATAAGCGCAAGTAAATGCCCAGTCTTAAATGGAAATTTTTATATTTACTTACAGGATTGGGCGAGAGAAAGAATACTACGAGGACATTATGTCTAAAATTAACGGGTAAGTTTGATTTTCGAGCAGTGAAAGGCTCAACTTGATTTCCTTTTTACACACTTAGCTCTGTACCAAATAAATAAACATTTAAATTTTCTATTAATCTCTTTTGTCGTCACATCTCTGGCGTACAGTGTCCTACTGCCAGGCGGTGCAACTTATTTCAATCAATCGCGTGGCTATGCCGATGCTGGTCAACACATTTACAATATTGCCATTGAAATGAATGAGGCCGGCACATATATGCCCATTTGGGGCACTTGCTTGGGTTATGAGCTTATGATCTATTTAACAGCGAATCGTACAGATTTACGCACCGAGTGCTCGTCATCGGCGCAAGCATTACCGCTGGAATTCGAGAAAGGCTACAACAATAGCAGACTGTTTGGCAATGCCAGCGCTGAAGTGTTGCACATATTGAGCACATACAATGTAACAGTAAATTTTCACATCTTCTGCTTTACGAAGGAGGTAAGTATTTTGAGAATGAATGGTGTTGATGAGTTGCTAGAGCATAACAAGTGGAAAGTGACGTTTAGCATAACTATTGGCCGCAATAGCAATTTTAATAGCTATTACGAATAGTGCAAAAATTCAAAGGGAATACATATATAAGCGTATATCTTTAGTTGAGCGTTAAATGCGTTGATAACTTGTGCAGGAGTACGCATTCGTATGCGTTACGTATACGCAATGTGTACCCTGAGGATGCTTACAAACTGTGACTCAAAGAATTGATCAAGAAATTTTATTGATTGGATATTATTAGCCAATTTAAATGGTTTAAGGGCTTTTTTAGTAGAAAAATTAAATTCGAATACTGCGGCATTATATAGAGACACACCCCTAAAAAATCCGATTCGGAAATATAACTACTTTTGGATCTTACAGATTTAGAGCAATTAATGCAAAAACAGGTATAAAATTAGTTTTCTAGTAAGAAAATAAAATCAGGAAGAAAAAAATATTTCATTTATTGTATCAAATCAGCGAAAATATTTTTACGATAATGCTCTTCAAAAACAAAACTATGGTTTATTGATATATATGTATATATTCTTTTATGGTAAAATAAATAATCAAAAAGTCATGCATGGCTTAGGAGTATAAAAATTAATCTTTTTGTGATAACATTAAATTTATATGTGCATTACTTTATGTCAAAAAGAGGCTTAGAGATATTTATAAGTGCATTACTCACAGTTTCTAACTGCTTATCTATAGCTATAGCGTTGCATAAGAGACATTGTATCTCGCTAATATCTAATACATATATATGTATGGTTTTGTGAGTATGTATGTATGTATGTATGTATGTATGTCAGTAACTAATATCATTAAGAATCAATAAAGTGGAACTGTAAATCTCTGTTCATTTTAAGTTTCGCTGTTTGGGACAGAAACACGTGTCTGCAGCAATGCAAGTGTGTACTCATCTACACCAATACTAGCTAAAATGTATGTAGTTACCCTGTTGGGAAAATTTCACTAGCAGATACTGAATCTGAGCTACATATACATATATATTTTCGTTGTTTTCCATACACTCACGGCAAAAAGTATTGGTGTAGAGAATTTTTCATAACACATACAGGGGCGCACCCAGGAATATATTTTAGGGGGGGTTTTATATTTCTGAAGATATATCACCGGAAAATACTGAAAATTTGCTTCAGATAATACCCTCTTTAAAATACATTTATGCAAGTTTTATGTACAGTAAGTAATAAATAAATAAACGTTTTAAAATTCATAAACTGCACTTTATTTACAGATTAACAGAACTCAAACGCTTTTAACCGACTTCAAAAAAAAGGGAGGTTATTATCTCGCCGGAATACATAACTTTTAACCACGTGAACCGTTTTCAATAATCCTTTTTTTATTAGAAAGATAGTACCTCAAGGTCCCGTAATTTGTTTTAGAGATCTGATGATTGGATCATGAAGAAATTAACGGTACCCCTAAATTTGAATATGAGAATTGAAGTCGGTTGTGTTCTTTCCTTAAAAACTACTTGCTTAATAATAAGTTCTATAAACTCAAGATGCGCTCAACTTTCAAAAGTACCTAATAAAAAATTTTAAAAAAGAGTCAGTAAAAATAAATTTATGGATTCCATGAATTTTTGCACTTCTATGTTCATTTTTTCGATTTCTGGTTTTCGATAGAGATGGTGAATTTTCACGATTGCTAAATTTTTTTAATATTTCAAATACCGAAAAAAACGAAAAATTCATATAAAACGACGGACGAGAAATGGAAAAGAAATTTTCTTCTACCAAAATTTCTTAAATCAGTTTGCAGCTCTCAAAAAAAAAAATGCTCGTATATTTATTCCCTCATGAAAATTTACAGCAAAAGCAAAGCGCGTTTTCAAGCAACAGAAATTATAATAAATATTTCTTATAATTTCCTTGAGAGCTGGATTCTTAGCTTTAAGATACAGATTGTATTTGAGGTTATTAGCTTTAGGGGGGTTTGAACCCCAAAACCCACCCCTTGTGTGCGCTAATGAACACATATATGAAAAATTTGTATTTTAATTTTTTCCGCAAATTTTTTTGTAAAAATATGTCTCATACTACAACAAAAACATACAAATATTACTTCTAAACTTGGTGCAAAACTCAGGGAACGTGAAAAAATTTACATGCATATGTTCAACTTTTTAATAAAATTTTTTTTTTATTAGCCCATTAAATTTTAGAATAAAAAAATCTTTTCGAAATTTGTTTGGTATGAAAGAAAATGCGTAAAAATCAACGGTAAGTACCAGCTACTTCAAAGTTGGTCCAACCATTTCATTTTTTGGAGTTTTTGGGGACCTATAAAAAATAGTTAATACCAAAAGATGGTAAAAAACAACAGAAAAATATTGATTTGTTTTTTTTTTCCCATATAAAATACATAAAAAACTTTGAGCGCTTTGAGGGACCGCTAAATAATTTTTGATTTAAACAAAAAAAAAAAACTCGAGTATATTTGTTTGGTATAGAACAATCAGGGGGTGGCAGCATTAAAATTCCCACTTTACTTTATTTGGACCACCCTAATATATATACATATTTACGTTTTATATGGGCATACAACAATCCTTTCCTACGTTTCTAATAAGAAAAAGTGTACCAATCGATTGATGCCCTCTTGATTTAAATTGAAAAAGTGGTTTCATTCCCGGACCCCATTTCGTCATCGAATATTTTAAAAATTTTGTTACGATGGCTTCATAAAATGTATGATTTTCCGCTCACCATGTAAATGAATCGAATCATGAAGTCAATATTAACTCCAGATAAAGTAATTAACCCAGAAGGTTACGTAGAAATATTTGACTTAATCAATTTAAACGAAATTTTGTTCTCAAACCCATCTATGTACATCCCATTTTCGATAGATTTAAGTTAGTGAAAAATTATCTGCATTTCTAGTGGTAAAATCACCTACATACATAGATCTAAAATTGCACTCAGATATTTTTGTCGGAACTTTATACTTTCTTTCTTCCTAATGTGCAATTTTTGCAAACGAAAATGCCACTCTAAACTTAGCCAACGGCTAGAAAATTCAACAAATACTCAACACAAATACCAAAAGTTACGCCACTAGTTCAGGTTTTTCCTATTGGGTAGCAGCAAGCTTTTTTAACGGTTAGTCGTATATACACAAATGGTTTGCCTATTTTTAGGCACCACTTACTAACATTTTCTCTAACATAATGTAATTTCAAGTCGCTTTTAAAATGTATGTAGTTATTTATGTCCCCACCAAACTTTTATCTTATATTTTTAGACATTTGCCATGTACGACCTCAACAAGTACTGGGATGTGCTTAGCGTCAATAATGACTGGTATGGCGCAGAATTCATATCGACCGTGGAGCATGTCAAGTATGTAGCTGCTAATGCCTAAAATAGCAACCCTTGCACGCGATTCGCTACTGATCTTTCTTATTTTTTTTCCGCTTATTTTAGATATCCATTTTATGGCGTGCAATTTCATCCGGAAAAAATTCTTTATGAATTCATTCCTAATCGAAATATTACACACACTTCGCAAGCTGTCATCGCGTCACAATATTTTGCAGACTTTTTTGTGAATGAAGTGCGTAAAAATCGACATTCTTTCGCCAATCGTACAGAGGAGATCGATGCGCTCATCTACAACTATCAGCCGGTGTACACGGGTGCTAAGGGTTCTGCTTTCGTCCAACAATATTTGTTTGAGGCATATAACGCCAGCACATCATCAGCATTTCTAGCGGGTGCCACTCAGTGGCATTGTTTGTTGGCATTGATTACGATATGTGTCGTGGGAGCGTGGAGGCGTGTATGACGTCATAGTGGTCTCAGAATTTTTTAGGCTATTCGGTCATTTAGTTTAGTCATTAATTTTATTGCTTGTTTAACTATTTTGTTGCCATAATTTTTGATAATCACTCGCTGCTAATATGTATGTATGTTTGTATGTAGTTCCTTTAGAAAATGATAATCAATGCATTTTTTACATATATGTAAGTATGTATGTGCAAACAAAGAGCTTAAAGTATGAAAGCATATTAAAGTAGAGAGACGGTCATCAACGCATTTTAATGCCTGCCTAAATCTAGCACTGCTACAATTTTGAATGTAATAGGTGTATTCACTCAAACTGAAAATGTCTTGTAAAGCTCGAAAGCTTCGACCGAACTGCCAAGTATTTATGAAAACATTTTTTTTTTAGGCTGAATTTTCTAACTTTTCGAGTTCGGTGAATGCTTCTATGGTTCTTTTTAGTTCCCCCAAGGCAGATCAAAGAGGCATTTGAGCAAAAACAAAAAAAAAACAACATTTAAGTGTATTTTATGGTTGCTTCTGGTCTCTAAAGTGTCAAACAAAATTTCAGATTTTTTTTTTTAAATATATATAAACAAATATTAAAAAAAAAATAAATTTAAATGTCTTTTTGGTATTTTTTTTTTACTCTGTAAGACCCAGTAGTCAGCGTTTGTGCTCCTGACTTAAGCGATCATTCCAAAATAACGTTCAATCGCTTCCTTTTATGCAAAAATGTTGTTTCACTTGAAAATAGATAAACAAAATAGAAAAAATAATAAACAATATTTGACACTTCAGAGACCAGATAATTAATAAAAAATCTAATCAGCTGATCTAATGATACTATCTGTTAAAATGCCTATGTAGCACTGTCTAGGCGATACAACTTTATTTAAGCATTAAAAATATTTAAACTCAGCAGCTATGCCTTAATCGTAGAGTATGAAAAGTAAATATTTATATACACATTTCTGTAAAAAAGTATTTAAAAAAGCGGCATTTAAAGCTAGTGAGCTATTAAAATTACTTTATCCTTTCGTAAGTGTAATAAAAATGATTTTAGTAAAGTAACATAAAATGTTCTGTATTAATGTAACTTTATGTATGTATGTATAACAACGTCGACCTTGGACAACCATTTCGTGAACATAAGGACCATGAAATGATACCCACAGTGAGGTAAAATTTGTCGTTGTTGTTGTTTGGGTACTTAGCCCTGCCTAGAGTGTCGTTTTTAAATCGTTGTCATCAAGCTCAACTAAAGAAAAGGCCCAGGAAACGTCTTGTTTCGATGAGGTTGTACCAGGGGGCGAAGGGTGTTAGTTGAGTTGAGTGAAGTAGGCTTGTGAGGAGAACCTTCACATGCCGCACATGTCGGGGTCTAGTCTGGTTAACCAAAAGTTTAACCTGCTATAGTATACAGACCGCAATTGAACCAGAGTTACGCGGGTCTCTTTAATAGGACGGGCGTTAGTGAAGGTGGTGACAGCCACCCTGTTCTTCCACAATTGGCAAGAAAATTGAAACCGCACCTAGGTTCAACTACTCTTGGAGAGAATGAAAGGCTATTGCCTGTGAAAGTTCACCCGGTTTTCGCTTGTGAATCCGTAATATGGTAGCCAAAAACACCACCAAAATGCCATTGGTTGGCTTTAGTCTCGCTAGGAGTCGCTTCCGGCATAGACTCTATTCCATATTTTTATTCAAGTAGCAGCAGTCTCGAGAGGTCGCAAATGCAAATACGTAGCGGTACGGTTCATCTTGGGTAAATGCCAGGGATGCAAAGATTCGAAGGGCAGAACAGGTGCTGGTGTTTATGGACTGTGCACTAGACTTTCTATGGAAATGGACAGATGGCCCACAGTCTTTTAGGTTCTAGCAACCTCAACCTGCGCCAGATAATATCTGGCAGTGGATTTGAAAAGCACGGCTTACAGTCTTTTCAGATAGCGCAGCGGCTCTCAGGGCATTATCCAATAGGATGATTAACTCCGCGCTAGATACTCTTCCACTTTTGCCAGCGCGGAACACCGTAACATTGCACTGGATACCAGGTCTCTGCGGGGTCGAATTAAACTGGAACGAGAACTGGCGTGAGAAGGCTCCTCGTCTATCAGTTGGGGGTCTGAAACCATTTTGCCTGCTCAGTTGGTCTTCTTCAAGAGTTATGCCGCTCAATTGCCGAAAGCTGGGGAGAGGTAGGGAGATCCTTAGCATGTCAATCTCTTTGCCTATCCGTTAGCTAGAAAGGACATAAATATTTTTAATATAGCCAAAATCAGCCTGGTAACGTGGTACCTAACCGCTTAAAACATCAAACATGTACCGGATCGGTCTGACGAAAGGGACGGGCTGCGCTCTTTGTCTTAAAAAGGAAGAGACGTCGGAGCACATTCTGTGTGATTGTCCAACGTTGGCCAGACTTCGTTTGAATGACTTGAATTTATCTAAAATCGAAAATTTTTTTGTTATTAGGAATTCATCTAACAAGGTGTTATTAGCATTTTTAATTCAAGCTGATACTATCAGGGGCTATCAATGTTAAAAAAAAAAACAAATTTCAAAAATCAAACGCTACATACAAGCACTGCAATTTTGTAACCAGCTCTTTCGCGGGCATCATTTATTTTGAGAAACAACGAATTTAGTAGATTTCCACCTGTTTTGGCCAATTGGTACTTTTGTTTCGGAAATTTGGTAGAAAATCATGCGAAGTGGCAACACTAATCGAAAAAGGTTGTGAAAATGTAATTATGTATGTATGTAGGCAGGTGGCGCTTTAGTATATAAACAAAGTGCAACAAGTGCAGATCGACTACGTTGTGGTACGTAATTTTGTATTATTTATTTTTGGCAAAGAATACTATTTAAGAAAGCTTAACGTTGGAATATTTCTTTTGTCGTGCTTCTTTCGATTTGAAATTGAAACAAAAAAAATGCAAAATTGACACGCGGGTAAGAGAGCTTTTCCGACCAATGTGTGAAAAGTATTTTTTTTTTGATTCTTTTAGAATCTGAAAAAAAGAAAAAAAATTAAGTGTTTTTTTTCTATGTGTATATTTCGTATACATATATTTGATAAAGCTACATAGCTGTTTTAAATGTTGACAAATCCATTTGTTTTCAGCAATTGCACAGATTCGATAGGCGACTGCCACCATCAAAGATTATTTCAATATACATAAATATGTACGTATTTAACGGGTTTTTCATCAGTAATACGATTGATATCATTATCGATAATGACATCGACAGAAATATCGTTAATAATATGGATAATAATATCGATAACAATATCAAAAATAATATCGACAGTATCAATAACAATATCGATAGTAATACCCATAACTAGGGATGGCAAAACAAAATAATCGATTAATTAATCATATGATTAATCACAAGCCAAAGGAATTAATTGAAATTCATTGCAACTATTGAAAAATAATCGATTAATCGAATTTTTAAAGGCATTTTTTCACAGTGAGTATTCACCAAAACACTTTTCCATAAAAAAATTTTCAAATTCTCTTGTTCATTAGCCTTAGATGAAAAAAGAGTATTTTTAGCGGAGATAATTATTTACTATTTACCCAAGTTTGCAAAAACTGAGGTACCAACTAAATTACAGTATTTTTTTGAAAGTCCCTAAAGTTTTTGGTAAAAAGTTTTAATTTCCTCCTAAGCGCGATGATATTCCGCTTTAGTTCCTGGACTTGACAATTTAAATAAAAACTAATTTCTTTTTGTGGGTGACCCAAGTCATCATCTTTTCGCCTTCGTTTGTGTACAAGAGATTTATGAGGGGCCCGAAGATCGATGGATGGATTTTAGATAGCTACAAAATTCATATTGAAAATATTTTTACGATTATTTAGTAATGAATCGATTAATGAAACACAAAACTACGATTCAATTAAATCGTAAATTGGAGAAAATTAATCGTTTAATTTAATCAAATGATTAATCGCTGCCATCCCTACCCATAACAATAAAGATAATAAAATCGTTAATATCATCAGTAGTAATATCGAACACAATATCGATAATATCTTATATCGATCAAAAATATTTAAAAATAAATATGTCGACTGTGGTAGCCGAGTCATAGAATTACTCTCAGAAAATCAAACTGTATGCATAAATACGTATTATGTATGTGTATACTTACATATCAGAATGCAGTTTTCATTTTATTTTACCGCAAAATTTTGTTGTATGACGCAACCAAGTATGACTGAGGGTGTGTGTATGTTTAACTCGAGGTGCATCATTCGTTGGGTTCTTTTTTCTTGTTCGGGACACACATACAAATACCCTGCAGAGAAACCGCGCACTAGTGAGTAAAATTTCTAGTTCTTTATCGCCAAAAACCAATCAGTCCGATAGTAACTAGATCCCCACCAGCTCAAAATCAGCGAAATGTAGTACTTTTATTTCACTTTTTTCATTAGAAATCTATATCTAAGGTGACGAATTTGAATCTGGTCCGGAACTATAGAAGAAGGGTCGTAGAGCGAACTAGATCTTATCTGTCGAACTTAGAACTAGTTTCGAACTAGTAGAAAAAGGGATGCAGCGGAGGGCTTGTTTACTTTACATAGATATGTGTTTGGCGGCGATTTCGTTCAAATACGCTACCATTCTGCACTTCCCAGATGCTTTTTCATAACTTGGTAATACAAAATAAAAATTTGTGTTAACATTTTAACATCTTGGGACCATCTGGAATCTAACCAATATCAGCGAGCAACTCTGCAACTCAGCTCATGATACTTTTTTCTTTCGTATCTCGTTTTTAGATCTTAGTGATTTTGGTGATGCTCAGAGAGAGCTTTTATTCTGTGCGCATCCATATAAAATCTATAGAGAGCTTTGAAGAGTTCCGCCCGCGGGCGCTGTTTTGAGCATCGTTGGTCCAAATGTACTAGAAGCGCACCAGTTCAGAACTAGGGATTTTCCTCACAGGGTACATAGGGAGAGAGTGAAAATTTTTATCGTGTGCTAGTATAGTTTTAGCTGCAGTGCGCTTGCATACTTATTTCTCCGTACATATAGTAAGAAATATGTAAGCATATCCATGCTGTGTACCGGTATCTGGAGAAATCGATTCAACTGTGACAGTTTGCCAGAGTTCGATGAATTTTCTTAAAATAAGAAATTTAAATTTCAACCTACAATTACGTAGGATATTAGAGCTACTAATACACATCGTCGGTGCATACGAAGAAATACGAGCGATTGTTTTAACGGTGAAAAAGGACGCGTAAAACAAAGAAGACAAAGAAAGACGCGTAAACATATACAAATGTACATACATACATACAAAAGTTCTTTTTTCGCTGACGGTTTTTTGTCGGCGTCGTCTTTTGTCGCGACTTTCTTCCCGATCGAACTTTTGAGTTTGTATCTTTCTTCGCATGTACAGGCGATATGTATGTACATATGTATATGTGATAGAGGATATTACGGAAAGAGCAACTGTTCTCATTCCGATCAGAGCCGTATGTTCTTCAGATAAAATATTTATTTCGTACGTACAATAAATGCTTAACATTTCTATTAGATTTTCGACGAATAAAATATGCATCAAAACGACTTGTCCACCAAGTCGCCCTTGATTGGCATACTATGTATGGATCGAAAGAATACAATGAGGGAGGACATTTGTAGTTATATCGATAACTCTTACGTAGAGTATTTGGAGGCTGGAGGCGCTCAAGTTGCTCCCATTTGGTAAGTATACTAAGTACTTATGCATTACACTGTGCGACAAAAACCAAAAAAAAACAAAAAAAAT